TCCAGCTCAGGCTCAGAGGCCTCACTCGGAGGCGGCGGGTCACTTTCCTCCTCCTCCTCCTCTTCCTCCTCCTCCTCCGCCTCCTCCTGCTCTTCCTCCTCTGCGTGCAGGAGTCCTTCTTCAGAGGGGACGAAGTCTGCATCCTCCTCAGCCTCCCATCTCTGATCCTTTGGCTTCCGCCCTCGCCGCTTCTTCCCAGGCTCCTTGGGCTGGGTGACCGGGCCTTCTGGGGGCTCGGTGCTAGACGGGGCCTGGCACACAGACGTCAGCTCCTCCGCCAACTCCTGCAGGTACAGAAGGGCTCTGGGGCAGAGGACAAGAGGTTGGGGGGGGAGGCGGATTGTGAGAACAAGGAACCCCCACCCCCAAAGGCCAGAGCATGGCTCAGGAGCAAAGCGGGGAGATGCTACTGCTCAGCCATGTCTCCTGAACATGTGCCAGCACCCAGAGGCCCGCTAGGTACAACCAGCATACCAGTTCTAGAAGCTTCTTTGCCCCCCGCAGGCATGTCTGCCACCTTAGGGCAGCCTCTCACTTTGGCCTGCCCTCCCCACCCCTTTCTTTACCTCCTGGTTTGATATCTACCCAGGGACCTTTCTGTTTCTGAACAGCCAAGAAAAGCTTGGTAGAAAAAACAAGTGGTAGAAGGAGTTGGCTCAGCCAGCACTTCGGAACAGGACCCACCAATTAACCAGGTGCCAGCTTTTGCGACAATTTGTTCAAAACGAACCAAACCCTGTGCGGACGGCAGGCCTCAAGAGAACACAGCCCCCAAAGGGGAAGGGCAGCTGTCCTCCTCCCCCTCCGGTGGCCACCACAGCAGGCGGCAGAGTCAGGACATTGCCCTGTATCGACCGGGGGGGGGGCATCTGCCCATCTCACTGACTAGTAGGTTTTAGGAGTTGTAGCCGGGAAGAAACGCCTTCCTTGTCTGTTTAAGTGGCCTTGATGGAAGACAGAAGAGCCGGGAGGCGACCACTTTCTCTACCCTGAACCTCCCAGGAAGCTCTTCCCATCACCCCCACTCCCCCCCAAGACCTTCCAAGAGAACTCCCCACAGGTCCTTCCTCTTGTGGCTTACACTTTAGCTGCCCGCCTCTTGGGGCGCCCGCCCGGCGTGGTCTCAAGGCACTGCATGTCCTTCTCACTGGGCGCCAGGGCCGAGTTCTCCGGGCACGGGGCCTCGGCTGCCTGGCACTCCTGCGACAACTTCAGCAGGAGCAGCTCCGCCTTGGACTTGCGCCCTCGCTTCTTCGGCACCCGCCCGGGCAGCAGCGAGGAGCTGTTCTCGGAAGGCCCAGGATCCTCACTCCTGCCCCAGCACTGCGTGGGGCCACCGGGGCCGTGGCACCCAGCGGCTTTCTTCCGGGGCTTCCGCCCACGGGAACGCTTCCGTCTGGACGGGGCAGCCGGATGTGGGGCATGAGCCGCAGCTGGAACGGCAGATGCAAACAGCTCTCCTGCGAAGGAAGGGAAGGAGGAAGGCCTCTGTTACCTGAGCTGCTCGTCTGCACCTGGAGGTGGAAGGAACTATGCAGGCCCAGGCTTCCCAGTCCTGCCTCCTGGCCTCTGGTGCCCAGGCAAGGGAAACTGCCAGACTGTACCCACTGGAGAGTCTCGCAGGGGCACTGGACTAATCCTAGGCCCCCGCAGGCTCCTCGGCCACTGTCCTCCCTTGGTTACTCATCCTCTCAAGGACCCGGCAGGGACAGCTCTACAGAGCCCTTTCCCGCAGCAAGACAGCCATCATGGCTACACCACCAACCACCACGACCACCCCCGGTTCCTGTAGCCATCAAACCTGAACTAAAGGCTCGGACATTTCCTTCCACGTGACAGGTTTCTCCCTGGAGACTCTTTCTCCTGGCCTCGTGGGGCACCTTCTCTGGCAGGAGGCAGGCGAGACCCTTCCCCCTTCCTGGAACACTGCCTGGCTTGGCACTTCCCTTTTCCCACCCCCCCGAGTCCCACCCTGTCCCACTTTGAGGGAAGAAGAGAAAGGAAAGCCTCCCTTCTGCTCCTGCTCTTCACCAGTCTGGCTGAAGGCATACCCAGGGCTTCTGGAGGGGCAGCCGCTTCTGCCTGCCTGCTCAGCTGCTCAGGGAACAGCCCTTCTTTTCCCTCCTCCAGGGCTCTCTTCCGTCTGGATGGGCTCTGAAGTTCTGGCCACTCCTCCTGCAGGTCACTTTCCACAGGTGACCCCATGGCTGCCTCAGTCTCGCCCAAGCCCATCCCTGCCAAAACGGGTCCATCCAGGGCTGCCTCGTCCTGCCCGCTCCAGAGCAGGTTCCTGAACTGAGTCTCTGAGGGAAGGGCGAGACGGGCGCCTCCTTCTGCTGGCTCGGTGGCCTCCTTGGCAATCCCCATGGCACAGCTTGCTGTGGGGCAAGGTTCCATGGAGGCAACAGAGTTGCTCAGGCAGGTGACTCCTCCATGTTGTGTAGGACGCTCCCTGCAAAACAAGTGGGATATGAGAAGCAACTCCCTGACCGCTGGCCCTCCTTATGCTCTCTGCCTTAAAAGACACCATCTCCACTTGCTTCCTTTTAAAAAATTATTTATTTTAATATATTAAATTACACAACGTAACCTACCACCACAATAAAATACAATTACGTATTCCATCAGTGCCACTATCACTCAGGGCTAGCATTAGTAATACTTTAAATTTCATTCAGTCCAAAACTTCATTGTTTCTTCCCTCTGTGTACACCCCTTCCCTGTCCAAAATACATATTCCAAGAATACACTCCATATTTTCTTAAAATCATTGTTTTTTGATAGGCCTCTTCTTATTTCCATATCACCTGACAGTTTATCATTAATTGCCACGTCCCATAGTTCTCTATACCATTCCTCTAAATTGAGTTGTGCTGCGCAAGCAGATTGAGTCAAGAAGGATTCTGGTGGCATTTTAATGAGGGGACAAGCAAATATGACCCTCCAGATGTTGCTGCCAACATCCATCCACCCACCCACCCACTCACGCCTGGCTAGAGGGCTGCACAATGGCATTTTACCAGCCCAAACCTATTACTTCTTAGTACTGTAACTGAATGACAAATGATGGCCACCAAAGTGAGTTCCAGATGCAGCCTATAACACAGGTTAAGTGACTGCGATGGTAGCAAAATTAAACAATTTTATAGGGAAATATATCAAGAAAGATCTAAATGGATTCTTACAAGGTAGATGGATGTCAGATAATGAGAAAGATGCTTACTGCAGTTTAATGCAATCGACAAAAAAAATCTAAATGTAAAGTAGGAACGGTATCCCTACACATTTTCAAAGGCTTTGATTCAGTTGAATGGGATGCGTTAAAAAATCTTGATTGAACAGATAGGATTTGGCACTCAGTTTGGACAAATAATGCAACAACTACACTCACAGAACTCTGTAAAAATAATAATAAACAATGGTATGACTGGGCCAAGGAATGAGACAAAGTTTCCCCTTATCTCAAATTCTATTTACTTTGATAATAGAAGAGCTCACCCGAGTAATTAGAAACAATTGTTTAATTAAAGGCGTAGATAACAGAGAAGGAAATAAAATAAAACTGTTTGCAGATGATGCATTATTGATAAATAAAAATCCAAAAGACACATTGCAGAAAATCAGAACACATTTAAATTTATTTGAAGAAATAACTGGCTTGAAAGTGAACCGGAAGAAATCTGAATGTATTTTATTAAATAATTCAGAAGTAGAAAATAAGGAGCTGAAGAAAGAATTCAAAGGAAGAATAAAGAGTGTAATTAAATATTTAGGAATTTATATTACACAGAATATACAAGATATAATTAAATTATAGACCAGATGGGCAGGATATAAATCAAATCAAATCAATCAATAAATATGGACAAAGTGAAGAAAGAAATTACCGAACAGATAAATTGTCTTGGCTTGGTAGAACGGATTATCCCTATTACCCCTAGATTATCCCTAGAATAGATTATCTCCCAATTTGAAGAGACTCTTGTCCAGCAGGCCGAGACAAAAAGGGAGTCCTGAAACCAGCAAAACCAGGGAGCTGGACAGGGGACAGATTGCATTTGTCTTCAGTGTGGAAGGAATTGTCACTCTCAAATTGGCCTTCTCAGCCACACTAGACGATGTTCCAAAACCTCTATTCAGAGCATGTTACCATAGTCTCTCGAGACTGAAGGATGCCTACAAAACATAATGGGGGGCTGTAAATCTGCCTCTACCAGATAAAATTTGATAAGAAAAATAAACAGAGACTGGCGAAACATTAGGAAGGTTGTTCTGAACAACCTTCAGAACACGGCCAAAGAGCCTAAAAACCCCAAGGAGAACCAATGTCAATATACTTTGAATTTAATTAATATTGGGGTGTGTGCAAACAACCCTCCATTTATATCTTCTCCCCCCAAGAAACCCCCCTCAGTGAAGAGCCCCTCCCCTCAAGCCCAAACAAACACCTCTTCCATCGGCCCTGCCTTGTGCCCCACCTCCCCAGTTCTCCTCCCTCACCTCCCCTGCCTTGCTTTCCTCCTCCGAAACAGTGACATCTACGCTGGCTTGAGCATGTGGTGAGAATGGATGATGGTCAGATTCATAAAGATCTCCTGTATGGAGAATGAGTGCAAGGAAATCGCCCCAGAGGGAGACCACAGCTGTGATACAAGGACATCTGCAAGCGGGACCTGAAGGCCTTAGGAATGGACTTCAACAGATGGGAAACCCTGACATCTGACCGTTCAGCCTGGAGGCAGTGTATCACAGCCTCTCTCAATTTGAAGAGACCTTTGTCCAGCAGACCAAGGCTGTCCCGAAACCAGCAAAACCAGAGGGCTGGACAGGGGACAGGCTGCGTTTGTTTTCAATGTGGAAGGGATTGTCACTCTCAAATTGGCCTTCTCACTAGATGCTGTTCCAAGACCTCTATCCAGGGCACATTTATATATTTGATAGAATAACATTATGTAAAATGAAGATTATCCATAAACTTAGTTTTGTATTTTGGATGCTCCGAACAAAGACTGGAGAAATATATTTGAAAGACTGGCAGAAATTAATAAATAACTATTGTAATGGAAATAAGCAAATAAGGATCAGTAAGAGGCTATGGTCTGTTCCACAAAAAACAGGAAGACTTGGACTATCTAATATTAAATGATATTACATCACAAATCAACTTAGGCATTACAGCTTCATTGTTTAGAAAACAATCCCACATTTTTAAAAATTTATTTATTAAATTACACAACATAAGCCTACTACCATACACAAAAATACAATTTACATATCACATCAGGGCCACCCTCACCCTCAAGGCTAGTATTAAGTTTCATTCAATCCACTTTCACTCCAAAGTTCATTGTTCCTTCCCTCAGTGTCTACATCTTCCCTCTCTGAAACACATATTCCAAGAATACACTCCATGTTTTCTTAAAAATCATTATTTTTTGATTGGCTTCTTTTTATTTTCATATCACAATCCCCTATTTTTAAGAACATCAAGCTGGCTCTGGCAGAGCGAGGCCACTACATTCACAAACACTTTGGCAAGTGAAGTGCTATTTTGCTTTTGGAGATAGAATTCCTAAAAGTTATAGTAAACAACATGCGAAGGATGGAATGAGCATTATATAACTTTACAGCACCATCTTTTGGAACTGTGGAAGATATGAACGGTGAGAAAACAATAAGCAGAAATCCCTGCTTCTGGACTTCCTGCAGTAGGGGGTAACCTATCAAGAATGAGTGAATGATGAAGAATAAAGTTTCAAACCCAGGAAGACAAGAAGGATCCAGGTAAACGGGATTTTAAATTGCCGTTGCTCACTCAAGAGATTCCCCAGAGAGAGAAAACCCTTGGTGGCCGGATAAGCGGGGTTCCTGGAGGAAAGCGAAAACGCTCTTGGCAGAGCCTAGCCACCACAACGGAGGAGGGAGGACCACCCGGAGCAGCGGAAGCATCCCTTGGCTTGGGCTTTGGGCGTCCAAGAAAGACGCAGCAGCCCAGCAGCAGGAGGAGGAGGAGGAGGTTCGGTCTTCCCGAGGCTGGCAGGACCCAACCGCCTCGCTGGGCACGCGCGGCGGGTGGGGTGGGGGTCAGCAAT